CTCTCTGTCTCAAAAATAAATAAATGTTAAAAAAAAAAAAATAAGAAATCCAGCTAGGTACAAAGTCCTATGAGATGGAAACAAATTAGGCCAAGGGCTATGGGGCTAAATCCTGTCGCTGTTTCCACAGTCTTGCTCTCATTTGTTTCCTGGTCTCTCTGTCCTCTCTTCCTTGCTAAAGTCTTTCTGGAATACTTTTCAGAAGTCACTGCATCATTCTCTTCCCCTTCCCTGGCTGTAAAACCAGGATAATCAATAGATAGTAGAAGCAGGATATGGTGGTTGTACAGATAAAGCAAGACAATGAGCTGGAAAAAATCTTGAGATCACCTAACCAATATTTCATGGTGAAACTAGAAAATGGAGGCCAGCTCTCCTCTGAGGCCGAGCAAACTTGAAGCCCAGACTTGGGGGCTGCACTCTTTTAAATAAATTAAGCTGTGGCTTAATTCAATCGGTGAAGCCTCTGACTTTGGCTCGGGTCATGATCTCATAGTTTGTGAGTTCAAGCTCCTTTTTGGGCTCTGTGCTGACAGCTCAGAGCCTGGAGCCTGCTTTGGATTCTGTGTCTCCCTCTCTCTCTGCCCCTCCCCCGTTCATGCTCTGTGTCTCTCTGTCTCAAAAATAAACATTAAAAAAAAACTGATATTTGAAGACCTTGGCCTTGACTCAAAGGAGTATCTAATAATGGGACTGAAGGGTAGATTGATAAAGGAGATATTAGGGGCAGGCCAACATTTCAGCATCCTCAACTCGTATCAGGTAGATAAAGGCCCACCCCACCCACAGGCAGGGCCAGATGGTCGACTGACGTTTCTCCAGGGAGGATCTTGATCATTTCTGATATCAGTTGATTCAATGTGGAGTCAGCACTTCTGCAGTGCCTGGCTCACCAGTGCCCCCTAGGGACACCTCCTGTGTGAGCACTTCTGAAGGGAACATTTCCTGAGGCCAAAAGCACTGACTCTTTTACCTCTGCATTCTTTGGTGTGACAGCCAGTGTGAGGGGAATTTAAGAAAGACAGTTCTTTTGGGGCGCCTGGGTGGCTCAGTCCGTTGATCGGCCAACTTCGGCTCAGGTCATGATTTCACAGCTCATGGGATCGAACCCCGTGTCGGGCTCTGTGCTGACAGGTCAGAGCCTGGAGCCTGCTTCGGATTCTGTGTCTCCCTCTCTCTCTGTGCCCCTCCCACACTTATGCTCCCACGTGCTCTCTCGCTCTCTCTCTCTCCCCCACCCCCGTCAAAAAATAAATAAATAAACTTTAAAAAAAGAGAAGTAGGACAAAAAAGATTTCTAGGTATCCTATCAGTGAAGTACTGGGCATTATCTAATAGCCTACCCCACTTGGAGGTTATCTGATCCTGTGGAGATGTGTACTTTTGATTTCCTATTTACTATCAATTAGCCTATCTTTCATAATGATCTCCCTGAGCAGGTACTTATTTTTGAGCCTTATCTTATGGAAGAGGAAATGGAGGTCTTAGAAAGACTAACTTCCCAAGGTCATAAAGGAGAGAACCAAGACTCAGACCCAAATCAATATGTCTGTAACCCACGCCCTTGACCACTGCACAGTGGTGCCTCTCTTTACTATTTATTCATTTTGACTAGGGAAAGCATTGCCATAGTACAAAACCTACAAAGGGAGCCTCACATTCCTGACTCAAAAGTCTGGCAACTCCTCTCTCTAGAGGTTACCTCTGTTCCCAATTTTGTGTCTCCTTACATAGATTTTTCCAGGCCTTTTGCCTATTTTTTTTAAGTGTTTATTTATTTATTTTGAGTGAAAGAGAGAGACCACACGTGTGTGAGCAGGTGGGGGCAAGAGAGGGAGAGAGAGAATCCCAGGCAGGCTCCACACTTAGCACAGAGCCAAACACAGGGCTGGGCTAGATCTTGCGACCATGAGATCATGACCTGAGCTCAGATCAAAGATCAAGAGTCCAACCAACATTTAACCAACTGAGCCACCCAAGTACCCCCACCGTGCCTGTTTACTTTAACAACAATTTAGAATGTCTACCCTTGTGTATTTAACTTGAGCTCAATAACTTTTCTTTTAATATGAAAAATTTTTCATATTCAACTTGTGTATTCAACTTGTGTATTCAACTTGAGCTCAATAACTTTTCTTTTAATATGAAAAATTTTTTACCATGAAACCCATGATATAGTTATCTTTAACATAACTAAAAGTTAGTGGTTTTAAGACTGATAATATGTCTGAGTAGTGAGTTTGATAATTTTTTAAAGACTTCTGAATGCAAAATTATTTAAAGCAAAGGGACATAAAGTATACCCTGCTTTGGGGCACCTGGGTGGCTAAGTCAGTTAAGCATCCGACTCCTGATTTCAGCTCAGGTCATGATCTCACAGTTCGTGAGTTCAAGCCTCGAATTGGTCCGTGTTGATGGTGCAGGAGCCTGCTTGGAATTCTCTCTCTCCCTCTCTGCCCCTCCCCCACTCATGCTCGCTCTCTGTCTCTCCCTCTCCCTCAAAATAAACAGACTTTAAAATTTTTTTATTTTTTTTTTAAAGTTAAAAAAAAAGTATACCTTGCTTCATATGGTTCATCCGTTTTGGAAAAGTGATGAAAAATCAGTTTGGGTCGTTTCTTTATTTTAACGGGAAGTGTTTCAAATTTGGATACAAAATCAGACCATGCCACCAGTAGATTTCTGAGGTTGTAACCTGATGCTGCATTTTCTTCAGATAGTTTTATCAAGAAGTAAAATATTATTGATTCAGTTGGGAGTCACTGTGCTCCTCTCTTCATCATATTTCCCTCCTCCCTAAGAGTACCCATAATCATAAATTCAGTGCACACTATATCCATATGTCTTTTAAACTTTTGCTACCAAAGATCAATTTTTCAAATATTCTAGACTATACTGTCCAATATAGGACAGCCATTGTTCACATGGGGTTATTGAGCAGTGGAATGTGGCTGATCTAAATTAAGGTGTAGCATACGTATAAAATGCACACCAGATTTCTACTACAAAAACTGTAAAGTATCTCATTAGTAATTTTCACATTGATTATATGTTGAAATAATAGTTTTTGAATATGTTGAGTTAAAGAGAACATATTATTAACATTATTCTCACTGGTGGTTTTTTTGTTTGTCTTGGTTTGTTTTTGTTTTTAGTTTTTAAATGGTAGTTACTGGAAAGTGTTAAATTACATACGTGGCTCTCATTACAATTCACTGGACAGTACTGGTATAGAGGTGCTTACGATGGAGACTGCTTGCAAAGAGAAATACCATCTAACTGATATTTTTTACTAACCTGGTTTTTCATTTACGCAGACTTGCCTGACATGAAGAACGTGTGCATTTGTACTCACTTTCTGCATCTTTAAATATTTGCCTGCTAAAATGTTCCAGGAGTGCTAATCTAAAATCCTTTACTCAGCTCACACAGCAGGAATAGCGAGTCAGACTTCTCCTCTCACTACTCATCAGCAGATGTTGAAACCCTGGGTTGTTTTAGTTCAACCCTGGATTAAATGAGATAAGGCATCTAAGGTTCTCACTGAATGGAGCTATTTTTATTAGCTAAAAGGCGAGATGATTGCATTAAATGGTTTTTGGGATCTTTTGTACAAAAATTAATTGTAAGCATATTTAACCATTGATTTAGTGGAAATCCTGGCTTTTGAAGACTTTTAACCAGTTTTAAGATACCTTTAAGAGACCTTTTCTTCACAGAATCTGCTTTTCATTGAGACAACCCAATCCACCCAATCCATCACAAAGAACTGCACTGTCAACAAATGTTTTCAGACCATTCAGAGCCTCACTCTGAAATGAAAAAAGGTAACATGAGAAGAAACTGCCCTGAGCATAAGTTTTTAATTGCTGTACTAGAATGTTCTGGCCATTCCTAGAGTTACATCAGCTGTGTCTAACTGACCAGCAATTTTGTTGGAACATGGAGGTGGCCCAGAGACAGAGAACTAGGCAGATAAACTGTCACTAAGAATTGAAGCAGCATTTTCCAAAAGGTGTTCTTGTAAGAACTCACGGAAAAAAAGTTATAGGTTCCAATGAGACCAGGAAACTCTGCAAATCACCATATACACCCAAATATAAGGCTAAACTGAATATCAAACCATCTTTTATTTTTCCATAAAGAAGTTTTTTAAAAAGCTCTTCGAGGGGCGCCTGGGTGGCTCAGTTGGTTGAGTATCTGACTTCAGCTCAGATCATGATCACACAATTCGTGGGTTCAAGCCCTGCTGACAGCTCAGAGCCTGGAGCCTGCTTCAGATTCTGTGTCCCCCTCTCTCTCTGTTCCTCTCCCGCTCAGGCTCTCTCTCTCTCTCTCTCTAAGTAAATAAACATTAAAAAAATTTTTTTAAGCTCTTTGACTGACATTAATATACAAACTTTGAATGATGGGCACATACTTTAATCACATTCTATAAAATTTTAATACATTGATTTTGAAATAAGTCTTTCCCCCACTCATTTATTTTTAAATGTATTATTGCTTTTTTGACACCAGGTCTTTGCTACTACTAAAGATACCTTTTGAGCCAACAAGAGTTTCCCACAGCACATCTTCCCTTCCATTTAAGTTTGGATACAACATTTTTGTAGCCATGTATGATGCTGTCAGGGGAAAATTCACTCAGTCACAAATATCAATTCACGTCAGACAAAGACAGTATTTGAACACCTCTCTTTCAGGTGTATGTTAACGATCCCCACAACTGTCAACACTACGTATGCTCATTTAGAATGCCCTTTAAAAGGTTTGTTAACTGTAACATTCAGAACTAGAAATTGTGAGGCCAACTTTCCTAGAATAATTAATACATCAGTGTTCAGGAAAAAAAAATTTTTTTTCTCTCCCCCAGAAAAAAATTTTTATACAATTCTCTCAGCTAACATTACTTGGGTTGTTTCTGACCGATGTCTTCCCCCATGCGGTACTTGGTTGTTCAAAATAAAGTATTTGAGAAAGTGCCCTATTGTCTGATAGACAAAATAAGGACTCAACTCTGAGGCAATTTCCTCACTTATCAGTGATAACTTGGGAGCTAATAATTTTGCTTATATTCCAGCATACATAGTATATCCCCTTCTTGGAGGTTCAGTGACTTCAGCGTATCACAAAGATTTTTAGAAGTAAAACAGGAGTGAAGCCTATTTAACTTCATATAATCCAGAAATCTCCAAAACTGTTCACCTAGATATCCTTTGGAAAAGAGATGGCCTGTTCTAACTTGATAAATTGAACAAAATTTTCATTTACTTCTTACCTAGATTATGTTCAGTAATGTTACTAATGGTGAGAATGGATTTTGGCTACCCTAGACACAAAACTCAAAGGGAAAATGTCAAATAATGAGTAACATGAAACCATAGTCTTCAAAAACATCCAACAAGTAGTTATTTGGTGCCTTTGAAAAGGTGGGAAGAAGAAAAACCAAATACATGATGGCCAGGGTAAAGCAATGTCCTACCTATCTTCAAATAACTCATTGTCCATGACGGCAAGGAGCTTATGTTCCGGTTGGGGAAGACGGACATAAAAAGCTATGCATAAATGTCTTGTGGGCACTGTGCCATGACAGAAGTTTATATAGTCCAGGGTACTGGGGTAAGAGATGAAAGAGAGGATGGTTAGTTTGACTTAGGAAGTCAGATAAGACTTTATAAGGCACATGGGGCAGAGGTCAGTCTTGGAAAGTTGCACCAAAAATACATTCACATATGATATGAAAACAAATACCAGCTAAAGTGGAACTCCATTATTACACAGATTCCAATTGTCCAGGCACTATCAGGTCCTCTCCACCCCAAACCCATCCCTGCCCCGCCCCCTGCCCAAATATATTCTGTGATAAGATTGTTAGTAATACACAGAAGGGAGAAGGGGAGCCCCTGACATTTAACTTAAGTTGTCATGTCTACCTTTCACAACAGACCTTGTAGGCAGGCCTTATCATGCCCATTTCATGCCAACCAGGCACCCCAGACCAGAAGACTTTTAAGATCACTTCCAATTCTAAGATTCTTTGATTCTGTAATAGACAGCCTTTCATATTAGTCCTGAGAAAGAGAGAGATCAGGAGGAGATTCTATTCTTAACGAGGTTAAAAACCATGGTTCAAAGGTATCAACCATAACTAGCACTTCAATCATCAATGAATAGGTAAAGAAAGATATGGGAATGGGGGAGAAGAAGGGGAAAAAAGATACCAAAATTCATTCTAGGAGACACCACAGGTCCCACCTACTATGAAGACTGGCTCTTACCCCGTAACTTCCCTGGAGACACTATGCTCAACGACAGACTGGTTGGTTAGGTGTGCTGGGGGTAACCTCTGGAACACCTTAAGAACCCACCTGTCTCTCTCCTTCTCTTTCAGATGTTCACCTCCACAATATTTGCTGTGATTGGATTCTTGGGTGCTGGATACTCATTTGTCATCTCAGCCATCTCCATCAACAGGGGTCCTAAATGTCTCATGGACAATAGCACGTGGGGCTACCCCTTCCACGATGGGTAAGGTGCACCCTGTGATGTCCACGTGTCCCCACAAGGCAGATAAATGGCCCAAGGGAGACCCTGCATCGGTCCTGTCACCTTCATTTGACTAGTGTCAGGCATGTTGCTCCTCTGAAGCAGAGCTGGAGAGGGGGTGGAGTGAAGTTGCCCAAGATCTCACTCTAATTGCTCTTTCTTTTTTTTTTTTTAAATGTTTATTTGTTTTTGAGAGAAAGAAAGAGACAGAGAGGGACAGAGTGTGAGAAGGGAAGAGGCAAGGAGAGAGACACAGAATCAGAAGCAGGCTCTAGGCTCTGAGCTAAGAAGACAGAGTTGGCGAGGAGCTCGAACCCACGAACCATGAGATCATGACCTGAGCCAAAGTTGGACGCTTAACCAGTTGAGCCACCCAGGAGCCCTTTTAATTGCTCTTTTGACAGACACTAGGAGAAATAACCAAGAGGGGGTGCTTCAGTTGGCCTGAGTGTCATTACTGACACCCCAACATTTATGAGCAGCGACATGAGGCAACTAATAATATTAATTAACAGAAAGTGGTGGCTTCCATTGAAAATCTTATAATAGGGGGCTGCTCTGTTGGTGGCGGAAGTCGGGTTATAAAGTCGACCTGGGGTCACGACTCAATCGTCCTGGCCTCGGCCCGCGTCCTGGCCACTGGGCTGATGGCTCAGAGCCTGGAGCCTATTTCAATTCTGTGTCTCCCTTTCTCTCTGCCCCCTCCCCGCTCATGCTCTGTCTCTCTCTGTCCCAAAAATAAATAAACTTGAAAAAAAATTAAAAAAAAAAAAAGAAAATCTTATAATAGAAAACGAGAATGATTTCTCACTAACAGGGCTCAAAGGCTTCCTAGATCGTCTATGAGTAGACTATCTTTTAAGGTGCAAATTTATGGAAAATGACATTGAGAATATTGTAGATTCTTCACGAGACTTAATATTAATAGAACTGGTTAAAATAACACTGCATGTTGTCACGGAACTCTGTAGCTGATAAAGAACTCCCCCCCCCCAACAAATTTATAATTTAATCCCCACAACAACCGCAAGCCGTAGTTATACCCTGCAAAGGCAGGCTTAATAATTTTGGCTTGCTCAAAGTCGCACAGCTGGTTAAGGGCAGAGGCAGGGCTCAAACTCCTATCTTCCAACTTTTGAGTTCTAGTATCTTTAAAAAAAAAAAATTTTCTTTGAAGTTTGTTTATTTTTGAGGGAGACAGAACGTGATCTGGAGAGGGGCAAACACAGAATCTAAAGCTGGTTCCAGGCTCCACAGAGCCCAATGTGGGCTCGAACTCACGAATCGTGAGATCATGACCTGAGCTGAAGTCAGACACTTAACCGGCTAAGCCACCCAGGACTACACACCCTTCTGCCCATAGACTATACCGTGCACCACAGTAGACAGTAGCCATATGTAGCTGTTCAAACTTAAATTCATTCAAATGAAATAAAGTTAAAATTCCTCAATCACACTATCAGTATTTCAAGTATCAGCAGCCATATGTGTCTAGTTGCAACTGCATTGACCCTCACCGATACAGGACATTACCACTGTCACAGACAGTCTATGAGACAGTGCTGCACCAGCCTCTGACCTCCAGGAGGGCTTGGACCATTTCTGCTTTGTTCATTACCACCTGGCACAGTGACTGACACATCTAGGCGGTCAGGAAATGTGGTTGTGAGGTGCCCCTACACTGGACGATGGGACCGTGCCTAAAGAAATCCGTAGGACACCAATTTATTAACTCTACATGTTCATTTACAACGAGAGTCTAAAGAACTTCAAAAGCAGGCTTTAGATGAGGAGACAGAGGGTACTGGTTCTGTTATGATACAGCTCACAAGAGTTTCGTGTAAAGTATCATCCCTACTTCTAAAGTTAAACAGGAGGGGGCGCCTGGGTGGCTCAGTCGGTTAAGCATCCGACTTCAGCTCAGGTCGTGATCTCGCGGTCTGTGGGTTTGAGCCCGGCGTCGGGCTCTGTGCTGACAGCTCAGAGCCTGGAGCCTGCTTCAGATTCTGTGTCTCCCTCTCTCTCTGACCCTCTCCCATTCATGCTCTGTCTCTGTCTCAAAAATAAATAAACATTAAAAAAAAAAATTTAAAAAAAATAAAGTTAAACAGGAGTACAGGCCTCTAGTATCCCCATCACATGCAGGGATTCCCAAAGGCAATGGTTGTACTGTGCCCCCTTACCTTGCAGAGGACTGCTGGGGCCCCGCTGCCGTGGGGTTAGCCTACATGAGCATAGAAATCAGACACCAGATCCATTTCCTGAGGTTCTTCCCCTGAGAGTTTATGAAACTACAGATTATGTCTCCTTCTAAGGACCCTTCTCCTATTATTTCCATCAACAACAGAAGCGCAGTATTAAACATGCTTTTGTATTTACTGTTATGTGAATGATACTACCCTTGACGAACTCAAAATCAATTAGAATGAATCTATGTCCAAAACAAAGGACGGAGAAAGGAAACACAACACTTGCCCAGTAACGCCCCAAGGCAGTACAATAAATAGCGTTAGACCCTAACACCCTCCCTGGCACACCCGCTCCCTGCTTGGGATGGAATGGGATCCATGCCCAAGGTCAGGAGAGTGACAGCTGGTCTGTGGGCCACTACAGGAAATGCCAGCGTGGGGGAAGGACAGGAAACAACTTTTCAAAGTCCTCTGTTCTTCTGGTGAAGCAAGTTTTCATGCACATCATAGCCCTTTACTGCACATTACTCCGTGATAGATGCTTTCACACATGGCATCGGATCTTCTCACAACAACTAACCCATTCATTAACTTGTATCAGATCAGAGAGGTTTAATAGTACAAACAGAACAGAATAAACTTTGCAGGCAAGCAGGCACATTTCAGAATTCTCCACCCTCCTCTGTTCATGGTAAGGCTTTGATAATTCTTTGACAGGAGAGAGGTTTGAGTGCCACCATATCTGCATAGTGGCTTCAAACTATCACGGGATCAAATATCACTGTGTAGGGGTTTATTACAAAACCATGTAGCCTACGCTTTCCAGGTGATCGATAGGCTATTTAAGAGTGATTTTGGCTATTTGTGGTTTTGTTTTGTTTTTTTCTCCTCACGCCCTGACTTTGGAATTTAATCCCACAGAAGGTGCAAGTCCTCTCTCTGTACAAGGCGTAAAATATGCCAAGATTGGCACAGGATAAGGCTCTCAGGAGGGGGGGATCTAGGTGGAATGTGTCACATGGCATCCTCTCTGCCACCTGGCAGGCTCCGGTCAGCATTCCATTGTCTCCTACATCCTGTGTCCTATCTTCTCAGGCAAGAACTCACATTCCTTTATGACCTTATCTCCCACAGCAGCTCCAACCCTTCCCTCGGACTGCAGGGGCTCAGCTTGAATTTTTATAACAGTAATCGAACCTCGGTTGCTTGGTGTTTTTCCGTTAACAAAGTGCTTTCATCCACATGTTTCATTTGATCCTGACAGAAAACTTGTGGGATTATTAACTCTCCTTCAGAGGGAAGATAGCTGAGGCCCAGAGAGGACAAGTGACTTGCCCAAAGAAATGGTCTTTCGTTTTCTTTCTTTCTTTCTTTCTTTCTTTCTTTCTTTCTTTCTTTCTTTGCTTTTCTTTCTCTTTCTTTCTTTCTTTCTTTCTTTCTTTCTGTTTCTTTCTTTTCTTTTTCTTTCTTTTCCTTCCTTCCTTCCTTCCTTCCTTCCTTCCTTCCTTCCTTCCTTCCTTCCTTCCTTCCGTTTATTTATTTTGAGAGAGAGAGAACCAGCAGGGGAGGGGCAGAGAGAGAGGGGGACAGAGGATCCAAAGTGGGCTCTGTGCTGACAGCCGAGAACCCACTGCGGGGCTCAAACTCATGAATTGAGAGATCATGACCTGGGCCAAAGATGGACACTCAACCGACTGAGCCACGCAGGCACCCCATAAATGCTGTTTCCTAATGACTGAAGCTCAGATCCAATTTTTCAGAGTCTAAGTCACAGTGGCTTTTCTAGAACATAAGTGATACTGATTTGCACTCTCTACTTTTTGTGTCGATTATAGATTCCGTGCGGCATAGCTCAGGGTCTCTGCTTCCGTGGACTCTTCTTATCCACGGGATCCCAGTGCATAAACACTGACGTGGTTGTTATAGCTACAAATCTAACACATGCACAGTTACTAGTGAGGCACAAGTATTAATCACTTGTATGAGCCTGAAGATAAGGACCTAGGACAGTTGTCACTCTTTCCTTATTACCAAATGGCAGTGGCAGCCACTACCACTTCTTTTTTCTTTTCTTTTCTTTTCTTTCTCCCTTCCTTTCTCTCTTTCTTTCTTTTCTTTCTTTCTCATTCCTTCTTTTTTATTTCTTTCCTTTCTTTCCCCCCGCCTCTCTCTTTCTCTTTCTTTTCCCTTTCTTCCTCCTACTATTCCTCCTCCTCCTTCTCCTCAGTGTTTAGGGGCTAAATGTTTCTGCACACATTATCTCAATCTTCTTAATAAAACTGAGAATTCTTATCCCTGCAGTAGAAAAATGAAATTCAGAAAGATTAATTTGCCCAGGGCTCCACAGCTAGTAATTAGCAGAAGGAGCATTTGAAAAAGCAAACACACACTTGACCAGTACCCTACTTTGTGCTGAAGCCTGTCCCAAATGTGAAGCAGACAAGGATGGATGTGGCCCCTGCCCCAGCGAGCGCAGGGCTAGTTAGAGTGACAACACAGGTCACACCCTCACAATGCAGAAAGGGACGAAATGGAGGAGTGCAAGGGAAACTTCTCTGAGGAGGTGACATGGGCTGGTTTGGGGACATGGGCAAAGGTGTGCCTTCCAGATAGGAGAAGCATATTTCAGGCAGAGAGAAGAGGAGGACTTGAGACAACCATGAAAAGGCCCAACACTCTCAGAGAATGTCTGTTCACTGCAAGCCTGAAGCTCAGGGTGAATGTGGGGGAGAGCAACAGAAGGGGACACCACCTGAGGACGTGGTTGACAGGTAGGCCAGAACTTTGGGACCTCAGGGACCAGCAGAGGACTTCAAGCAGGACATGCCACCGCCACCTGGGATTTCTAGGACGATTGTGATGTCAGTGATGTAGAGGATGAGGACATGCTCAGTAAGAAGAGACAAAAGTCGGAGATTGGAGTAATAATCCTGATAAGGTTATCACCAGTGAGGCAGTGGAACTGGGCTCCAAAGGACACAGATTTCAGAGATCTGAGATGGAATCATCAGGATTAGATGTGAGGAAATAGGGGGCAGGTTATTGAGTTGGACTCCAAGATTTCCAGTTTGGGGCACAAAATTCAGGGCTCCTCAATGCCATAGGAATAGCCTAGGTTGGGTTTGTTTGTTTGTTTGTTTGTTTGTTTTTCCCTCAGAAATGTTTGTTGGCAATCTTGTTAAAAGAGCAAAGACAGTTGGGGCGCCTGGGTGGCACAGTCGGTGAAGCATCCGACTTCAGCCAGGTCACGATCTCGCGGTCCGTGAGTTCGAGCCCCGCGTCGGGCTCTGGGCTGATGGCTCGGAGCCTGGAGCCTGTTTCCGATTCTGTGTCTCCCTCTCTCTCTGCCCCTCCCCCGTTCATGCTCTGTCTCTCTCTGTCCCAAAAATAAATAAACGTTGGAAAAAAAAAAAAAAAAGAGCAAAGACAGTTAACTTTCTCTGTCATGAGAACCATACTAAAGAGGCCTCCTAGAAGGAAAAAGAAACCTAGGACATTTTGAGATACACCCTCTTGCCTTCCTTTGAAGTAGGACCTCCTCCCATCCAAGGTCTTCCTTTCTAAGACAATTGGCTACCTCTACCTTGACCCTGAGCTGCTGAAAGGGAAGCAGCTGGCACAAGGCATGGGGACAGCCACAGAAGGGAGAACCAGAGGAAAGGCCAAGGACGATAGCAGTGGGGGAGGGACAAGGGACACGGCCAAGCACAGCACTCCCCCCTCGGGCTGTAACCCTGCCTGCTCCCTGGGGAAGGTGAGGTGTGGCGAGCTCTTTCACACCAAAACACAGAAGTGAGTACAATAAATGTTCTGCCTGGACTTTCAGTTTAGACCATCTGCATTTGTACTTCAGAGATTGCTCATCAGCAAGGAACCCCGTAAGCTACTCTTGAACACATTCCCTAGAGCTGAAAGCCACACTGACCGGGGGATGTGGGCTTACCCCCCGGGGTTTCCAGCTTTCAGGAAGCACGAAACACTCATGGATGTCAAGCAGCTTTGCTCTTCGCCTGACTGGACTTAGGGACCAGTCACACCCCTGCCACATACCAGTGGGGTCATCTTGGGCAGTGCATTGACCTCTCAGCTCTTCCTCTGTCAGATGGGGTAACAGCATGCTCTACGTCACAGATTCAGGCAAGAATGAAAGAACACGATGCACAGAAAGCCTTTGGCACAATTACTGCCACATGCTGTTTGCTAAACATTCAGCCTTATTATTCATTTTTGTGAATATAACTCATTACCATGAACAGATTACGCATTAGAGCTTTCTGAAACGTTATGCTTTCATAATGATTTTGTGATTTAATTCCTATCTTTTCATCCAGTCACATGAAGGCTCAAAGAGACTATTCCCTTTATCATGGTACAGGTAAACCTTAATTGACAAGCTATTATAAATATGTTGTATAAATCAAATGTAATAAATAAGTCATATTTCAAATATACCGAAGGGATATAATCACTCAACATAGGGAGTTCGTGTAATGATTAAGAACATTAGCTGCGGAGTCAGACAGACCGAAGACCAAATCCAGGCACTTCCGTTCACTCGCCTCAACCTCTTAATCTGTGTATATGTTCGTTCGTTCCGTGAGTGTTTTGTGGAGGCTATACTCTATGCAAGGCCTCGTTCAAGTAAAAGAACACCTCCTTGTGGGATTCAGAAAGATGATGTAAAGCACGTGGGCAGGACCAGTACGTGACAGTTGCCATTATTTATCGATCACTCCCTGTGCTGGAACTGGGGACCGTGTTAGGAGACACGGTCTCTGTCCACATGGGCATACAGCCCTGAAAAGAAAAACAGGAAAATGGACAGACGGTGATAGCACAGGGTCCTAGGTGCTCTTCCAGAGGAAACACAGAAAGCTGGGAGGCACAGAAGGGCTACCCACGTCAGCTGAGGGCAGGAGGAGGATCGGGGAGTTTGTCCCAGGGGATGTGACCCCAGAACAAGCCAGGCAGAGTGGGCCAGGCAAAGCATTCGGGAGCCCCTCTTCTTTCCGTCAGCTGTCTCTGTTGCTTTCAAGAGGTGAGTCTCATGAAACCCATGGCTTTCTATACAGATATGGCGGGATTACTACAGCTCAGATGGAAATACCCTTCACAATAATGGGATGCTTTAAAACTCCAGTCAAGTGGATTTAAACTGCCTCAGCTCTCCTTGCTTCACAGAATGTGGGAACATGATTTTCTCCACAAAAAATTAGGGCCCACTGCCTCGTGGGGTTGGGGAGTTGGCCACAACAATCATTGCCAACATCTCGGGGAGCCTCAGGCCCTGAGAATCTGGGAGGAGAGAAGAAGGGTCTGGAATGCGTATTTATGATGGTTTGTGGGGGGTGAGGTGGGTGGAACTGAGAGGATTTCTTTCTCCAGGTGCCCAAACTCCACCCTTACTTCCAAGGCTCCCCCGTGAGCATTTCACCAATTTCGCCACCAGGAGGTGCTGTCATCCCATCTCTGCACAAACTCTTGCAGAGGGAAAAAAACTCAGGATCGCCAATTGCTTCATCTTAGAATCCTTCTTTATAAAATGTGCCTGGAAAATATTGTGTCTTCACGACTTTCTATAGTCAAGTTTGAAAACTGTAAAGATAGGACTACATCGAAAAATGCGGAACAGAAAGTTGAGTGTTTACAAGTAATTACAATAAAAGGAAGTTTTCCACAACGGTACATAACATACAGTACATGATCTTTGTGAATCTTCACAATTGTGAGGTTGTTCTCAGCCCATTTTATAGATGAAGAGCTGATGCTATGGGGGTGGGGGGAAGTAACTTGTATGAGGAATACACAGAGAGTAAGATGAATGCTTGGATTCAAACCCAGGTTCAACTCAATCCAAAATACCAGTCTCTTTCCTTTAGACCACACTGCTCAGGTTAAGTAAAATAATAAAGATACTAGCGTTTACTGAGCACTTACTATATGTTAGGCACTGTCCTAAGCACGTCACTAGTGTTAGTTCAGGTAATTGTCACAACAACCCTACAATTTAATGATATTATTCCCACTTTACAGATAAGTACACAAGTCACACAGTTAATGAGCAGCTATGGAAAAGTGAATCAATGCTCCAAACAATGCAGTGTTTTACTTTTAAATCAAGAGCAAAATGCTCCTTCTTTCCTTTATTCCTTGTGCTCTATTAAACTCCAGGGTATCTGCCATCATTCCAAAGATTTTTGAAAATCTTAATATGGAATATTTAAAATGAGCACTGATGCACTGGGGAATTTGTCAGAAACAGGAGTAGATGTTAATTTAGTAGCCAGAAGGAGTTTCCCATGGAGTCCTTGAAAGGGTAGAGGATACATAAAGGCAGAGGTAGAGACCAATTTGTGGCTCTAAGAATGTGAGAAAAAATTATAGTAATCCACAGCATTTATCCACTTTTACTCTTGTTTTTGTCTGAAAGACAATAGGTTTCCCATTTCTCCTTCAAGACACAATGCCCTTTATATTGTAGTAAACTCCTAATATATATATATATATATATATATATATTTTTATAAAATATTGCAGTTTCTCCTGTTTCAAAATTTTATAAACTACGTATTAAGGCAGCAGATTATTTTTTTTAATTAATTAAATCTTTTTGCATGCGGAATCCCTACATGTTAACAAAAATACAGTTGAGCAAAATTCGCAATTTGGCTAGAATTAGGCCTTCAAACATTAAGCTCTTCCCTTTAAGTGCCCCTTTGACATAACTGTACTTTACAAGGCCACTAGACTTGACAGATAATTTTGTCAAAAGCCCAAATGGTCCCTAACAACTACTGGCAGGATACTGGCCATGAACATTTGTAAGAGTCTACTCCCAGGGTATCTTCATTTTCCCAGTCCCCTCATAGATACTGGATTTACCCATCCTTTTGGTCCCCTCACAAAAATCACTCTGTCACTTAGTACCTATGCAACCTAGGGGTAAGCCACTTAACCTCTCTGTGCCTCAATGCCCTTATTTGTGAAACGGAAGGCTCCTCATTAGGTTTCTATGAGAAGGGTCTCATAAGGCTTCTATGCGGAAAAAAATGAGTTGATATGTGTACAACATTTAGAGCAGATTCTGGCACATAGTATATATTTAATAAAAATGTTAGATGTTGTTTTTAAAATTATTATTATGGGATAGGTTTCCTTTTTTTAAATTTTTTCTCTTTTTAAATTTAATAGAGATTGTGTGTGTGAATGGGGGAGAGGGGCAGAGAGAGAGAGAGAATCATAAGCAGGCTCCACGCTCAGCTCAGAGCCCAAGTGGGGCTTGATCCAATGACCCTGGGATCATGACCTGAGCCAAATCAAGAATCAGATGCTCAACCAACTGAGCCACCCAGGTGCTCCATTATGGGACATTTCTCTTATGGAGCTTATGTTTGGGATGGAAAGTATTGCAAAAGAAAAATCATTATGGTGTCTTTGTAGCCCAGCGTATTGCATATGTTTTACAAATGTCTCCTTTCTCCTCCATATTTTGGACAGGGATTACCTCAATGATGAGGCGTTATGGAGCAAGTGCCGGCAGCCTGCCGATGTGGTTCCCTGGCATCTGACCCTCTTCTCCATCCTGCTGGTCATAGGCGGAGTCCAGATGCTTCTCTGTGCCATCCAGGTGGTCAACGGCCTCCTGGGGACCCTGTGCGGAGACTGCCAGTGTTGCAGCTGTTGTGGGGTGAGTTGAGGTCCTGGTCCTTTCTCTTTGGCATGCTCAGGAGGCCAGGGTAGGCCACCAGCACTAATGGGGAGAGGGTGGAGACAGCAGTAGCTGCAGAAAACCAGGCTGGAAAGGCCAGGCAGCCCTCTCTACCAGCTCAGGGGAATGGTAACACTGTGTGGCTGACCCAGGCTGACGTGGACCAAAGTTCTCAGTCTCAGACCCAGTTGACCACAATCCTGGAGGCAGAGGACTCTAAATACACGTAGAAGTTTACAATAATGTTTATTATTATTTATACGAAGACCCCCAGGAATTGGGCATTTGTCATACACATGTATTGTCAATAACATGTCATGGTCTGGCCCAAAACATTCTCACTATTCCCTAAATAGATCTAGACAGTGGATGGAAGTTGCCAAGAAATACATGGAACACATGTCAGGGCATTTTCTTTTCCCCGGAAAAGAACAGAACATACCAATGCAAAACCTAACACTGGATGAGATTTCTGATATAGAAGAGAGAAGTGGTTCTCACGCAGGGCGGGAAAAAAAGGAAATCACTGAGGATTTAGTCTCCAAGTATGATTGTAAATTATCAACGATATAAAAAGTAAAAATAAACATATGGCCTGCAAGACTGTGATTATTTCAACTAGTGACCAAACCAGATCAGGCAATTGTTCAGACACACACAGACTTATTTAAAAACACAAACTGACATATGAGGAAAAATTAAACAGAACTTGAGAGTCCCATAATTGAGGAACTATGTAAATAAATATATACTGTGACCTATCTATTTAATACAATATTATGTCCAAATTTTATTTTATTCTTTTTTTTTAGTTTATTTATTTCAAGAGAGAGACAGAACATGCATGTGGGGGAGGGGCAAAGAGAGAGGGAGAGGGAGAATCCCAAGCCAGCTCCACACTGTCAGCACAGAGCCCCATGCGGGGCTCAAACTCACAGACTGTGAGATCACGACCTGAACCGAAAACAAGAGTCAGACGCTTGACTGACTAAGCCAGCCAGGCGCCCCAGTTATGCCCAAATTTTAAATGTTTCCAATAATTTTCTTTAAATTTCTAACAAGCATTATATGTACACAGGTCAAAAATTAAGTCTGTGTGTCAGAAACATACAGCGGTATTCAGTTGGAAAGCCTGCCCTGTCTTCTACCTACCCAGTTCCTCTCGGTCTCTACCTGATTTTTTCTATATCCTCTCAGAGTTTCTTCGTTATTGTTTTTATTCACCCTCCCTGAAAAAGATTTTTAAAACTGTAATAATACTGAAAATGCTTATGAGATAGTGTTATTTAAAAAGAGCAAGAGGGGCGCCTGGGTGGCGCAGTCGGTTAAGCGTCCGACTTCAGCCAGGTCACGATCTCGCGGTCCGTGAGTTCGAGCCCTGCGTCAGGCTCTGGGCTGATGGCTCGGAGCCTGGAGCCTGTTTCCGATTCTGTGTCTCCCTCTCTCTCTGCCCCTCCCCCGTTCATGCTCTGTCTCTCTCTGTCCCCAAAATAAATAAACGTTGAAAAAAAAAAAAAAAGAGCAAGATACAGAGGCACCTGGCTGGTTTGGAAGGGCATGTGACTCTTGATCTTAAAGAATTGTGGGTTCAAGCCCCACACTGGGTATAGAGATTACTTAAAACTAAAATCTTTAAAAAAAATAAAAATAAAAAAAGCTAGATTAAAAAAGTATACAAATAAACAACCATGTAAATAAGAAAAAAACACTATGAATTGAAAAGAAACCTAGAGGAAATCCAACCCAAGTATTAAATGATGGGTAAGAAGGAAATGACTTATTTCCTTCCTTCTAGCTTATATAATTCAAAAAAAGGTTTAACAATCATAAATTTTAAAATATACAAAATATAAATAAAAAGGTCCCCAAAATTAACTGTAAAATGCATGTATTACAAATAAATTTCACTGAGTATTGGGTGTTTTGTTCTGTAAATTTTCAGTTCTATCATGTTCTATTTAAATTTTTTGGTCTTTAAACACAAATGAGAAGAAAAGAAAACTACCAGTGAATAATCCATCAAAATGATTTTTATGATAGAAGCGAAGACTATTGAACATCTAAATCTTATGGGTCATCCAAAATGAATTCATGCTTGCTAAATCATCTCATTTCAAACACTTTCATTATTTCCTTTTCTGACACAGAAGAGGATCATGTATTTAATTAGGAAGCAAATTTTCATTGCAAGATTTATTAGAAATATAGCTGCCCTTTACATAGAAAATAGTAGTTTATTAAATTTGAGGATTATCTATAAATTTAAAAAATATGTCCATAGGTGCCAATACATTGACTTTTTTCAGTGAGTGTCATCTGTACAAACACTATATTTTAACAATTTTAACAAGTAAATCACTTGATAGTCAAAAGACAGTAGATGGACTCCATAGCTGTCAGTGCATGTGAATCGGAGAATCCGAAGGTGAATATACACCTCCTGAATACCCCTCCCTCCCTCCCTTCCTTCCTTCTTTCTCTCTCTCTCTCTGTCTTCCTTCCTTCCTTCCTCCCTCCCTCTATTCCTTCTTCCTTCCTTCCTTCCTTCCTTCCTTCCTTCCTTCCTTCCTTCCTTCCTTCTTTCTCTCTTCCTTCTTTCCTTCCTTCCTTCCTCCCTCCCTCCCTTCCTCTATTCCTTCCTTCCTTTCTTCTTTCCTTCCTTCCTTTCTTCTTTCCTTCCTTCCTTCCTTCTTCCTTCCCTTCCCTTCCTTTCCCTTCCTTCTTCTCCAACTTTTTATTTGAAAAACTTCAACTGTACATAAAATTTAAAGGAACAGTAAAATGAACACCTGTATAATTTCACCTAGATCCACAAACTGTTCATATTTGCTTGCTCTCTCTTTCTGAACTACTGGAAAGCCATTTGCAGGCATGAAGAACCTTCACTACCAGATATTTCAGTGCACACGAGAGCTGCATTTTTTAACGATCAGTCTGCTGAGGATTCCTTTCTTGCTGGCAGCTTGCCTCTCGTACAGCTGGTCAGCATCCCCTGCAGCGAGCGTCCCACTGTGGGGGGACTTGGGCTCACGGCCTAGTTCCACAACCTCCTAGCTGAGTGACCCCAGCAAGCTTCCTAACTTCTCAAGTCTTAGTTACCCCAACTGCCTCTTGCCGAGCTTTTACGGAAAGCGTGCAGATCCATCCGTTCAAGCAGAAAGTATTTATTGAGAGATTTCTGAGCCTGGCACAGTCCTTAAATGAGGTAATAGATGGAAACGTGCCTTAAATACAAGCTATGAGATCGGGGTTGAGTGCCAGCTGTGCAGTCTTGGCAAAGTCAGCTGCACGCAACTGTTTCTTTGTCTGCAAAATGCGGTTTTTAAACCTATTTCCTAAGGTTGCTGAGTCTAACACAGGGTGATAAATATGCATCGACATCAACGGCCAGAAGGCTCAGGCCTTTGTACTGATTGTTCTTTACTAAGGTATGAAAATTGGTGAGGCAGTGCAGCTTCAAGGAAAGGGGCACAGTCTCTGGGATCAACCTGCCTGGGTTCAAATCCAGGCTCCTCTACTTCTTTGTTGTGGCTTTGGATACTCACTGAAGCTCTCTGCACCTCTTATCAAAAAATTTTTTGGGGCGCCTGGGTGGCTGAGTTGGTTGAGCGGCCGACTTCGGCTCAGGTCACGATCTCGCAG